TGATTAACCTTGAAATATAAGTCTCTAGTAGATGAAAGACACATATAATTTATAGCCCAAGTGTAGGAAATCAAGGATGATATCAAATCATATTCCTGCTTGGGGAGTAGTTTTGAGAATGCTTACTGACCATTTGGTAGATACATTTACTACAGATTTAAAAATGTATTCATTCTCTAAAGTGTCACATCGAAATAAGGACTATCTTTTGTAAGCTGAGGTATTTGCCATCTATACTTAGGTAATTTTAAAAAATAAATTTTTATTTATTTCAGAGAGAGGAAAGGAGAGAGAGAAACATCAATGATGAGAGAAATCATTGATCGTCTGCCTCCTGCTCACCCCCTACTGGGGATTGAGCCTGCCACCCGGGCCTGTGCCCTGAACTGGGAATCGAACCATGATCTCCTGGTTCATGGGTCAATGTCAACCACTGAGGACCACCAGCCAGGTACATAGGAAATAAGTAGAGCCTAATTTTGATAAAAACAGTACTATTTTACTCCATTGACCCATCTTTTGGAGACAGCCATTTTTCTGGAGGGTTTGGCCTCTTCACTGCCACAATCTATTAGCCTAACCAGCTGCTCATCTGGTCCCCAAAGCATTTTGGAATTCCCCCATTCTAGATCTGGATCAGAGGGTAAAACTCCACATTTCGTTTCTTTAGCTCTATCACTGTTGACATTTGGGTAAGTCTATTCTGTGATACCCTGATAACCATCTGCTTCTCTGGATAATGTACAGCCTACTTTCTATCGAATTAGCTTAGATCATCAGAAAACTACACTAGGACCCTATGAGCTAGGCTCTTTTGCTGAATTACATGTTATGTAATACACATGGCTTTATCCAGGGATTTTTTTTAAAAAAAGAAGTAACATGAAATTCCCTATTATGTAATTAAGAATATTGCTTATTAAATGTCATTCTGTATTCCATATATAAAGTTTAATATGAGGAATTTCCTCCAGAGTTTGGGGGCATGAAAAAGTTTGTTTTCTTTGATAAAGGGTACTTGCCCAACTTTTAGATAATAAAAGATGTGTAATTTACCTTATTTATATATTTACCTGAGGCTGGAGGCACAGGGGCAAATTTGAATGTTAATTGTCGCAATTAAATTAACAAATTTTATAAATTAAATAGTCATTATGTAAACCAGGAGTTAGTTAACTATGAACCCCCCACCCCAAACACACTCGGTGCCTTCTATTCTTGTAAATAAAGTTTTATTGGAGCACAGCCATGGTCTATGGCTGCTTTCCTGCTACAGTGGCAGACTTCAGCAGTTGCTATTTGACCCTTTACAGAAAAATACTAACAATCCTAATGTAAGTAGTCACATGATGGCATGGGTCAGACCAAATGCACTAGCACTGAAGGAATATAAACCAAGGCAATTACTATAATATGTGGCTACTTGGGAATGTCTTAACAGAGAAGCTGTGCTACAAAAGGCATTTCATCTTTAAATAGTGGGAACATAGAAGGGCATTTTACTTTATTATTTTTTAATCCTCACCCTAGGATATTTTTTCCATTTATTTTCAGAGAAAGTGAAAGGGAGGCAGCAGAGGCAGGAGGGGGGGAGAGAGGGAGAGAAACATCAATGTAAGAGACGTATTAACTGGTCGCCTTCCACATGCACCTTGACCAAAGCGGGGCATTGAACCTGCAACAAGGGTACATGCCCTAGACCAGGAATTGAACACTTGACCCTTTGGTCTGCGGGCCGATACTCTAACCACTGAGAAAAAATGGCCAGGGGTAGGAGGGCATTTTATGTGGGAGAGAGCACATTTTGAGTATGTGGGATTATTTTGAAAATGGTTTTTGCCCAATTGGAATTGGACAGCAGTGACAATGCCGTTGAATAGGTGAGATGATTGTTGCAGGGCTTAAAAACCAGGAATCAAAATTTGCATTTAATCTGACAGGCTTTTGAAAACTGTCTTAAATCTTCAAGGGAATTGATGTGATGGAAATAGCATCCTGGGACAATGATCTGACAGCAGTGTATGGGATGAACTCAAGCAAGACTAAGCAGTTACTGAAGTAAGCCTCGCGTGAGGAACTCAGATGATGGGGATGGAAATGGAGAGGGAAAGCAGCCTCCGAGAAGCTGGAAAGAATGAGGTTGACTTTGGGACTGACTGGATTTAGAGAATGACGGGAGGGAAATTGTGAGAGGAGAATTGGGAAAAGCTGAAACGTGAACAGTTTTTTTTGAGAGAAAATATGTGTTTTGGTTTTGGCATCTCTAATTTCTGGTGTTTTAGAGCCTTATAAGAGAGAGTAGGGGAGTGTTTGGAGTATGGACTAGATGAAGTCTCTGGGAGAATTTACATAAAGGAAGAGAGCACAAGGCCGGAGCCTTGGGGGTGCCTTCAGGAATCAGAGAGGACAGAGGAATAGGAGGAGTTGGTAGAGCAGTGTTTCCCAGTATGTCCCAGGAAAGGCTGGCTGTATAGACCCGTGGTCGGCAAACTGTGGCTCGCGAGCCACATGTGGCTCTTTGGCCCCTTGAATGTGGCTCTTCCTAAGCCTTAGGAGTACCCTAATTAAGTTAATAACAATGTACCTACCTATATAGTTTAAGTTAAAAAAATTTGGCTCTCAAAAGAAATTTCAATCGTTGTACTGTTGATATTTGGCTCTGTTGACTAATGAGTTTGCCGACCACTGGTGTTAACAAGAATTTCTAGAAAAAAAAAAAGGTACCATGATCAGATAAGTTTGGGAAACTCGGGGTTAAAGTTAATCAAACTCCTTGCTTTAGAACCTCTGAGATTATTTAATGACATGCACTATTATTTAGATCTCTCTCTCAAATTATAGATTCATACATACAACTTTCTACCTGGCATCTCCCCTTGGCTTTCTGTTAGGTCTCTAAAACTTACCTGTTTCAAGTGGAATCTTGGTCTTCCCCCACAAAACTTGTTTCCCATCTCAGTTGATGGCAACAGCATTTTCCTTTTGTAAAAAATGCTGTGGTAAGTAATGTATAAATTGTTTTGTTTCATGTGTAAAATGCCCAAAAGAAATGAGATTAAAAATAAAGTTGCTCAGATCCAAAATCTTGGAGTCACCTTTGACCCCTTTTCCCTCCTCTACTGTCATCTCATTCTTTAGCAACCACAGTTGGCTCTGTCTTCAAAGATATCCCGAATCGGACCACTTCTCACCTCAGGTGATTCGGTTAAAATCTCTCCCCCTTTTGTGTGTAGTAGTTTCTTGCTTCACTCAGGATACATGCAGCAGTCCGTCCAGGAGCCTCAAGGCCTGGAATATCTGGCTTCTCATTGGCTCTTTGGTTACCATTTTCTTCCTCCTCCATTCTGTGCCCGATCCATCTCTGCTCTTTCTGGAACAGGTCTTAAGCATTTCATTAGCTTAGGGCTTTTGTACTCACTGTTTTCTGTTCCTGTGACACTTTCCACAAATATGTGTATGCCTAACAACTCCAAATGCCACCCTCTCTAGAAAAGACGGCCATATTTAAAATAGCGTGTCCTCCCCTCATCTCTCATTCCCTTTACTCTAGCTACTTTACTACTTTTTTTTCCCCATAGCACTTACCACCTTTTACCATGTTATATTTCATTATCTTTTTTTTTTTAATTTACTGTCTGCCTCTTCCTGCTAGACTGTGAGCTCCAGAGTGTCAGGATTTTTGTCTGTTATTTATTGAGGTAACTTAAACATCTAGAACAGTTTCTGATTCACAGTAGGCACCTACTAAGTGTTTGTTAAGTGAATGATCGAATCTTCAAGATGGCAATATATGTCCCTACACACTCCTTTTTTTCTCCCTGTGGAGATCTCTTTATTGTGGGTTTCCCAAGGACATACTTTGGAAAATTCTGCTGTGATGTCTTATGGAATTCAAAAGAGAAGCAAATTTCAAGAAAGGTCAGATTAGTGCAACTGGAAAGTTGAGATGTTGACCTGCCTCAGCTAAAGAGTAGATTTACACAGGGACCATCATTTGCCATCATAGAACCAGTTTCAGTGCTGTGAAATATCAAACTCAAGGAGTAAAGTTGGACCTAGATGTTGAAGAAGGAAGCTAGGATAAACTATTCATTCAGGGAGGTTAACTTTGAAAGAAAGGGAGGAAAGTAGTTTGCCTTCAATGTTGAGATCAGGAGAGCTTGGTTTTGCAGCCTGTTATTTTTAAAAGCAACCTAGAGTACTGAAGTGACATACATTTTTTGAAAGGTATATGTAATAAATAGGTGACCTAAAGCATCCATTTTTTAAGATAGTGTAATTTGGTGGGTTCAGTGCTGCATGGGAATTGGATAAATTTGGGTTCTTAGGAAATCTTCTTACTAGTTCTGTGTCTTTGATTTATCACCTGCCTTCCTTCATCCTTTTGCATATTTTTTGAGACCCCAGTAGGAATGAGAGGTGCGATGTAAATATTAAAAATTGGTGCTTAATTGCCTGCTGGTTCCTCTTTTAGAAGACAAGCAATCTGTTTTGATGTGTGTTTCTAGGTCATTTCTCTACTCCCTGAAAACAGCTCACCCGGGCTTTACACTTGTTGGATTAGTGCTTAAATGAAAGCTTTGTTCCAAAGCAAAGCATAGTTTAAACAATTTTTGAAAGTTTGACTATTTCTTTTGATCAATAAAAAAATTAATTTCTATTTCAAACATGTCATTGAATTGAATTTTTTAAATCGTGTTATTAGGCTAGAACTTTTGGATTTTGGGGACGGGCAGGGGTGGGGCAGAGGTTCAATTCATCTGTTTCTGAATTAGTTCTAATGGGAAAAACCAAGAGCTTTTGGACATTTTAGTTTCTCAGCCATGGCATTTGAGGACTGAAGAGGTTAACAGTGAAGTGTATGGCAAGGATTACTCAGCAGAGCCCTGTGCTTTATTTCCGTTGTTGACTTTGGAATGAATTACTTTAATGTTATTTGAGGAGTAATTGGTTTGAACTCCTTTTCCAGATTAACAAATATTTTTTTGTTTTGGTTACAGAATCTGCATACATATATGTCAGAGAAGCAGAAATGTCAGATGATATCAGGAAAAGGTTTGAATTTCCAAATTCTCTTATCCAAACACAGGTAATTTAATTTATTAATTTATTTATTTATGCTTCGTGGTAACAAGTGAACTTTTTTGGTAGATTGTTAATTTAACTTTATATTTTTAACATTGAATATTTTTTTCTATATTAGAGATATTTTATTAAACAACTTTTATATGAGTTAATTTGAAAATTTATATTTGACAAGAAAATAGATATTTGAAGTTGACCAATTGCAGCTTCTATTTATGTCATACTTAGAAATAATAAAACCTTGATTAACCCCTTGAGTATGTACTTTTTGCTCTATAATTAATTATTGGGAACAGAAATAAATGGTTATGCCTCTACAGATATATGCATCTATAGAGTATGAGAGACTAATATCTTAAAATGTATATTCTACCTCTATACAAATGTAAGAAAAATAGATTTTTATAATAATGACAGTAAGTAAACTATCCTGGATTAAAAAACTTCAGTCTATAAACTCTAACTCAGGCAGGAGATTATAATTTATTTTAAAGAGCTTTTCAATTATTAGGGTTAAACCAAAGATGGCTTTCTGGTTAGCTTTCAGCTAGCTAGAAGCATTGTGGTTAATCAAGGTATCATAATAGCTTACTGTCTTTTCTTGTGAGAGTAAAGATAACAGAACAGCAGAAGCCTGCCTGAAGACTTAACCACGGACAGCATCTCGGCCACTTTCAACAGTTAACTTTGGAGATGCCTGCTGTGGGAATTGACTTAGCTGGGTAGTGGGGAACCCTTCCATGAGGAGAAGAACACTCCTTATGCAAGATTCCCTTCTGCCTGACTGGGTTGGAGTCTTATCCTTCACAGCACAGGTTCTTACCATGAAGAAGAAATGAAGGTTTGGAGAATACTGGCCTCAAATTTTTTTTTTCTGGCCTGGAGTCCCTTCATTAGCGTGGATAATCAAGAAAGGCCTATGTGTGTTACTGTTAAATCGAGTGAAAAGTGTACATATACACTTTTAGTGTATATGTACATATATACTTTTTGTAGGACGTCTTTTTAAACTATTCTGTTATGCAAAACTAAAGTAACAATGTAGGCTGATATATTCTTGGATTTTGTATTTTAAAATCAATTTAGGCTATATTCTCTGATTTTAACGCCTGTGAAATTGGGTTGCATCTAGTAATTGATGGCAGTAGTCATCATAGAGTTGGTATTGCCTGTGCATTTGTGAACTTGGCCATGATTTTCTAAATGAGTTTGAAAGAGCTTTCTTAATATAAAATAAAAATTCGAAACCATATGAAGCATTGTATAATATAGATTAATTGGCAGCCTTTTTTTCTTTCTTACTGTTACATAAAATATTGATATATCTTGTAGTTGCTGGCCAGTTCCATTCAGTGAAATATGCTGTATTTTGTAAACAGGAACCAAAACTATTCACTGGTTTTCAATTCTTGTTACTATCCCTTTAAATAGGAGATAAGAGACAGTTAATTGATCTAAATGTAATATTCCTTTAAACGAATGACTTGTATTGCAAAACTGAGACCATTAAGCTTTGAGGTCATTAATCACTTTTAATATGTGAAATACAAAGAGAGATCAAGGATTGGAGGCTGTGTTTTTATTTGAACTTCTCTGGAAACTTTGCAAGACTGTCAGGTATTCACAGCTGTATCATACATTGGTCCCTAGTGCAGGATCAACCTGTTTATTGCCTTTTTTGTTTGTGGCAGTTGCCACGTATTTCCAACCCACACACAGAATGGCTGTTATTGTTGTTGGCCTAGGTTCCAAGACAGCAGGGCTGGGTAGTGCTGAAGAGCGAGGAGAATGAGATTGAGGTGGTAGGAGGTAATGATATGTATGTATTTATGTAATCAGCACTCCTGTTGAGTCTCATCTTTAATTTTGGGCTTTGGATTAAAGCAGGATTTGGGAAAAATTTAGAGATTTACTAGACTGAAAGCCTGTTACAGCTCTAAAACCTATAATAAAATAATAAAGAAATTAAGTCATAGAGCCTAGAGGAGGGAGAATGTTCGTGGTCACAGGAGATCCATGGATTCAGGTCTGTGTGGGCCATAGTCAAAGATGGGAATGCATTTTCTCCATCTTCATTAAGGGCATGATGAAGCATGATGGATTTCATTTAGATGCAAAGATGATTTTAAAAGCTGTGGAGTTTCTTATTTGTCTTAACGGTTTCATGGATTAAACAGTCTCAAAGTTTCTTCTAATATTAAATGACAGCAATTTAAACTGAAAATCTAGCAATTTTCTTAACATCTATGAATGATAGTTTGCCTATTGGGATAAAAATCGGGATAAAAATGCTTACCTTGAGGGTTGTTATGAAGATGAGAAATTATGTATGTGGACTGACTAGTTCAGTGCCTTCTATAGGGCGCGTCCTCAGTGAATTGGAATTTTATTACCAATTGACTGATATGACTCAAAGTCATAATAACTACTATTGATAGTTGTTACCATCAAATGCACTATTTGGAGAAAACTTCTGAGGAAATGTATTTTTTTTTCCTTTTTAGGCTGTGGGTCATCTTCTTGCTGCAGTCCTAAAGGAGAATGGTTTTTCAGAAAAGATCAATCAATCCACAAACCAGGTCTGTGTTTAACTCTGTGCTGTAGTTCTGCTCCGATATTGCTACCAGCTGGACCACAGAGTCACTTCGCTTATTTCCCTCACAGCTCAGGTCACTGTAGAAAGGATTTAGAACTGTGAGAAGTTTATTGCCTTTTTTGTTTGTTTGCTATATTTTTCTTCCAAATAAAACATTTAAAATTTGTGACAATAGACTCCAGGAATAAGATATGGAGGAGATGAGGGGAGTATTTTTATGATTATTAATAAAAAAATAGCATGCGTGGAATGAGCGTAGGCATGTTTTAGAAGAGAAGGTTGACAGGGTTACCTCTGAGGGAATATTTTTGTTTAATAGAAAAAGTGAACATAGTGGCTCTATTTGGGTGTGGGAGATTTTTCGTGCTATAGATGGCCCCATGTATGAAAAGGTCATGCGTGGACAGTTGGAATTGGGGAAAAAATTCTTATCATGCATAGGGCAGGCGAATGCTAAGTGTGGAAGCAATGCCAGCCTACTGAGATATATATCACTTGGGTTTTGGTTGACCAGTGTTGTGTATTTTGACATGCTGGTTGGAAATTCTATTTAAGTGGGTGCTCTAAGGTAAACTCCGTAGAGAATATAGATGATGGAAATAAGATGTTTTTTCACAGCAGAAACAAACTGATTATTTCCTTCCTCTCACATTCCTTTTGATTAACTGCTCCAAGTCACATTTCTTTGCTGCATCTGCCGACAGGTTGAAGGAAGTGTATGGGGTATATGCTTCAATAATTGGCATTTATCTAGTGTTTGTATATAGTCATTTAAATTAGGTTTTCTGAGAACCCTGATCTTAATCCTTCCTGTAATCACATTATGTACTCTGACAAGATCTAGTGGTTTTACTTAAATTGCCAGGATTTATTGAATGTCAATCCCTGTAACCAAATATTTCCTCTTCCATTAATAAATGAATGCTTATTTCCATGAGATCACAGTGTTATCTGAAGGGACAGTTTTTTATTTATTTATATTATTTTTCCGGCTTAGTAATTTAGTCCCCTTTCATATTATCCATGTGGGTGATTTAACTTTCCTTCTAAATAAAATAAATAGAATATAAATATTACTTTCCTGTAGTAACTATTAACTCTATTGTTCTGTCATAGTGGGATCCTATAATTGCAAGGATCTCAGAGCTAGCTACAGTAGGAAAGTGGACACAATAAAATGTTGATTTTCATTCTTATAGTTATTCTATGGGAGCCAGGCATTTCTCCAAATTATATATTTCCCAATAAATTATTGGGGGAAGGACAGAAAGGAAAATAGTTTCATTATATGTTCTTTAAAAAAAGGCCAAAACCCAAAAAATTCCCAAACCATGTATCAATCTAAATAGACTTAACCCACAATATATTTAAATATAGGTTTACCATTAATATTGAACTTTTTTTTGGTGAGGGAATCATGGGTTCCTGAGAAAGTTATGAAAATTAGAACCTCTGCTTTAATAGGATTTTTCAAAATTAAGAACTTATATACCCTTCCAGTGCTTTTCTGTGAAAGATGACAGACGCATGGTATGAGGGGTAGGGAAAAGTCACAGTCTCTCTCTTGGCCAAAACAGTTTTTCTAGGCTTTTGCTGGTAGCCATGGGACCAGCAGCTTGCTGGTAGCCTGTTCTACTTCTCTCTCTTTCCTCTGTGCCCATTGGGGCAGGGACATTGTGTGTGTGTGGTGGGGGGGAGAGGGGGGTTGAGGATGGGGTGCATGTAGGTGATAGAGGTTGGTGGTAGGAGATTAGGAACATTTTCTGAAATTGTATTCCCACTGAGGGCTTGAAGCATAGGTATGATTTGGGTTCAACTTAGACTAACTGATCTGCTGATATTGTGGGTGTCTGGTGAAAGGGCTTGGTTTAGCACTGCCAGAGACAAGTGTTAGTTTTGATCCCTTGTAAGGTTAGTTCTGTTGCGTTGCTTAAACTCAGGTTATAACTGTTGGCAGCCAGGCTTACTTTGCAGCAAATACACCAGATGAGAGAGAGAGTTGCTATATCAGAACAGATCCATTACCTCTCTTGGGAAACAGACTGTAGTTTATTCTACAAGTGCTGTGACAGCAGCATCTTTATACAGGAGAGCTAGCCTACTGTGAACCAATTACACTGTGACGCATGGCTGGGGGTGTGTATGCATTTGCTGCTCGTCGGAAGTGTCCTTTAACCACTGGTTTGATTTCAGACCCCTGCTTTGAACTTGCTCTGGGAGAAGTGCTGCAGTGATAACGTGGTGGTTCGGACAGCCTGCTGCGAGGGTCTGGTGGCACTTGTTGCGCAGGATCACGCGGAGTTCAGCTATATTCTCAATGGGATCCTCAACCTGATTCCCTCCGCCAGGTACTCTTCCTGTTGGATCAGTTAACAATTTAAAGTCTTAGAAAAAAAATTCACTAATTTCCATGAAGGGCCAACACTTAACCTACTTACCCATTGTTCTTCTTTCTCTTAAAATGTCACGAAGTTGATATTTCATATGTGATGAGAACATGCTAGTTTAAACTCTATAGGTTTAGAATTTGTGGGCCTTTGCTGTACTTAAGTTTGGGGCTCTGCTTAAATTTGTCATTGTTCTGTTTTATGAAGAAAATAGCCTACGTAGTGAAGAATTTACAATTGCAGTGCACATTCCTGACTTACTTTAAGAAAGAAGGCTGCCTCTAAGCAGTACTTCCACAGTGGTCAAGTTTCTACACTATTGAAAATACTTTGGCATTAGTATGTGTATTTTGTGATTTCAACATGTCTTCCCCTGAATATTATCCAAGTAAATGATGTATAGGTGTGTGTGTGTTTTTAAATTTGTTTGGTATGACTTAATTTAGTACATTCACAGACTGAGCATAGTGGAATCACAAGGGCTAAAAGGGGATATGCCATCCTGAGGTGGTTAAACAGGACCGTATTGGAAACATCCTGTGGAAATAAGACTGTCTTGCAAAATACTCCCTGAAAAAGGGATGCCACTCTTTGCTTCAAGAAATGGTCTTAATTTGCCTTCTTTAAGTCATTTGGGCTTCTGCTTCCTCCCAACTCCTACCAGTGTTTTCTACTCACCTTTATTGTAGTAGCATCAGAACTGAATACTTCATCTTTTTTTTCTGCTTTCAGTGGAGGGGGAAAGAGTCACAGTCTCATTGTTGGGCAGAACAGTTTTTCTCTCAGTCTGTGGAAGATGCTTTCCTGGACTTGAAGCTTATTAGGTTCAATAATCTCTGGCCTTTTAAATTCCTTTCTTCACAAATCTTGTTAGTTTCCTTAAATCACCTCTTTATATCTTTTTGGAACCTTAATTTTTCTTTAAATTCTGCTGTGTATAGTTGTAAGTCCAGACCCTTGAGTGTGGTACATGCCCTTCCCAAACTACCCGCAGCCTTCTGTTCAACCTGCATTCCCTGCCGTGAACTCTCGCCTCTAGCTGTACACACCTGTTCCCCATTCCTGAGCTTTCACGTGTGCTCAGCCTCCACTTGGAATGTTCTTTCTCCTTCTCTTTCTGACTTCATCTTCATCCTTCAAAGTTCAACTGAGATGTCACCTCTCCTACCTAGATACTCCCCTCTTCTCAGCTGGGCTCCTTGCTCTTTCACAGTTTTCTTTTCAACCTGTATTTTCATCTCTAGTGCACTCTAACAGATGACCAACTATCTATAATAATAAAAGCATAATATACTAATTAGACCGGACATCCTTCCAGACAACATTCCGGACGAAGCCGGGGCTGCGAGGGAAGCCCGGTTCCCAGGTGCCTGCCAGCGGCCAGAGGGAAGCCCAGGTCCCGGGTGCTGGAGGGAAGCCTGGGTCCTGGATGCCAGAGGGAAGCCGGTGCCAGCAGCCAGGGGAAGGAAGGCCTACTCTTGCACGAATTTTGTGCATCAGGCCTCTAGTTTCTGAATAAGTAAGGATTTGATCATGCCTAAAAACTTATTTATTTTCTGTCTTTTTCTTTTTGCACGCTCACATTGCATGCACACGCACACATATACCACGTGTTTAGAAGGATCCTATTTTCTACCCATTTAAAAAAAAGTAGTTTTGAGAAGGCTTTTAAAGAGTTAAGTTTTAATGTGTTGCTCTTTTTTGTAACTTATTGGTTGACTTTAAGCAGGCCACCTAGATTTTGCATTACCCCCCTTTTTTTTTCAAATGCAGGTACAGTAATGGTATTTGTTCCCCCCTACATAGTTTTCAAATGCCTTAAAATGCACAATATAAAATCCATCTGTATTGTGCTATACTATTTATACCTAAAAGCCAGAGTATCAGCAGCTAAGGGAGTGGAGTCAGTCTGTGTATGTGAGGGATACTCCAGCAGGTTGGATTATACCTTTAGTTCTAGATCATGTTAGAAAATGATGCTGGTGTGATACATTCCTCACACTTCAGTAAAGTCCTTCATCACTATTGTAAACTAGAAAGCATACACCTGGCTGATAAGGAACCAGCATCCCATCTGTATATATTATAATTTGTCAGTCGCCTTAGATTTTTTAAATTTTAAAAATGTATTTTTTGAATAGATGATACATGATAAAGAATTCAAAAGGGCATATGAAGCAATGTCTCTGTCTTATTATCCTTTTAAAGGTGTTACATATTCATGTAACTGAAATTTATGTGTAAATATTTTTTTCTTTAAGAAAACCCACAAAATTAGCAGTCCACTGTACATAGTATTCTTTATTTTGCATTTTTCATTGAAAAAATATATTTTAGAGATAATTTCTTAACATACATAAAGTACTTTCAAATTTTTCCAGCTACATTATAGTTCATTGTGTGAATGTGCCGTAATTTACCAATTTCGTATTGTTTTCAATTATTTGCATTATAGGCAGTGCTTCAATGAGTAATATAATCTTACACGTATAGGTAACCATTAGTTTTCAGAGGTCATTAGATATAGAAGAAAGCACTGAATTTTATAATATGCAATTATATGTATTTTAACAATTAGAGTATCCTGGAAAGAAATTCTTTTACAAAAATCTTTGTTTTTTAAAGATTTTTTAAAAAAAATATATATTTTATTGATTTTTTACAGAGAGGAAGGGAGAGGGATAGAGAGTTAGAAACATCGATGAGAGAGAAACATTGATCAGCTGCCTCCTGCACACCTCCTACTGGGGATATGCCCGCAACCAAGGTACATGCCTTTGACCAGAATCGAACCTGGGACCCTTCGGTCCGCAGGCCGACGCTCTATCCACTGAGCCAAACCGGTTAGGGCTACAAAAAATCTTTTATCTGAGAATATTCATGTTGTCTAAATTGTTAGCCACAGGGAAATGGTGATAGAATAGACTCTGCAGCTAACCAATTTAATTTTTTTAAAATATATTTTTATTGATTTTAGAAAGGAAGGGAGAGGAAGAGAGAGAAAGAAACATCAATGATGAGAATCATTGATCGGCTGCCTACTGCACGCCCCCTACTAGGGATCGAGCCCACAACCGGGGCATGTGCCCTTGACTGGAATTGAACTTGGAACCCTTCAGTCTGCAGGCTGACACTCTACCCACTGAGCAAAACCAGCTAGGGCACCAATTTAATTTTTGAATCAATTTGATCATACAATGTATTATATAAGTGCTAAGTTTTCTTTATTGTTACCAGTAGAAGTAATAATTATATGTGAAGAATTTTCTTTATTTGGCTTATTTCAAGTAGCAGAGCTCTGTGGTTCATAGCCATTACAACAACTAAACGTTATTTCTTTAAAAAACAAACAAATGAGAATTACAGCTAAGAAATTATACTAAATCTAATTAAAAACAGGAGATCCAAATAGCCTCCTCCTCCAAATGCTGCTCAGGGGATCTTGAGACAGAAAACCATCTTTATCTGTGGGATTTAAAAGCAGGAATGACTTTGTCACTTGCCTGTGCTTCTTGGCTGAGACATTTTAGATCTTCAGTTTCCAGTATTCAAATGTCTACTTGTCTCTGGAACTCTCTTCTTAACATAGAGGTTTATTAGCATCTAGAGGCACCCTGGGAACAGAGCCGCTCAGTTTTGATGTAGAAAATAATTGTAAAAATTTCTTTCCCACAAGCCTACCATCTTTCAGGGAGAGAGAAGAAAGAGAGAGAGAGAGAGAGAGAGAGAGAGAGAGAGAGAGAGAGAGAGGGAACACTCGTGCTGGTGCGGGGACTGATGGTGGGAAGCAGTCTTAAGTTTCTGGAACTTTCTCAGTATGGTAGTAAATGTTGAAAGCTGCAGGGAAAGATGGAAGGCAACGTTGATGAGACCAGCTCTCCTAACTTTGTAACCTGCCCCTTAGCCCTTGGCAGGTCTAGTCTATAAATTTCTCTTGGAACATGTATTGGACCTCCACCACCGCCTCAAAACTACCCACATTGTATAGTCTGACTTTGAAAAAGACTTGACATTTGCAAAGATCTGATTGTCCGAACCCCGGGGAGGGGCTGGGAAAGCGCCTGGCTCTGTTTGAGAGACTGTTCCCTTCAAAGGAGCAGTTTGATGTCCAAGAGTATTCTTGGTTCAAAGCTGAGGCAACATGAAACAATTGTAGACCAGTTTTTATAGCTTCTGTAAACAAAGAAATGGATTTCAGAGATCCAAAGTGTTCCTTTAATCAGTAAGGAAATTTGAAAAAGAAAAAAAAAGAAAGTCCCCAGGGAGGGTGAAGGAAAGGAGACCAAGAAGACAGCACAGAACGGAAGTCATTATCACCAGTTAAATGTGAATTTTCAAATTAAACAAAACTGAAATTAAAGTGAATGATACATAGTAGCATGTACTTTTCTTGTCTTTTAAGGAATTGCTTGTTTTAAGTGTAGACAGTTTTGGGGTTTGCTTGTTTGTTTTGACATTGACTGTATCCTAACATAATGATTCCCAAAGCAAAGGGTGTCCCCATTTTTCTTACATTTCCCGCCCCCTTAACTGTGCAAGCTTCTAAGAAAGCTGATGCAGCCATTGTTATAGTTGCTTAGTAACGGGACTGTGAATAAAAACCGTACTGTCCTGTGGAACCAGGTATTCAGTTTTTGATATTGAGATGTCGTGACAGCCTGTAATTTCAGTTTAACTGCTTCCCCCACCTTCTTTTAAAAATGTGTTGGTAGAACAGTTATGCTCTCGATAAACTAGGCTAGCACTTGATTTGTGTGCCTTTGTACTTTCAAACCGAGAAAAGAACTGCAATTTATGTATTTGGGAAAATAAAGTGTATGTGTGAGAGATAAAAGTCTATTTTCTGAGGTTCCTGAAGTCTACCTTTAAATGAAATTTTGCAGAGGGTATTAAAAATGCCCTTAGTGTGTCCTGACTAAAGCTGTTGGACTCAGTGAGTTCTTGATCATGGATGGATGAAG